AATCCGTTTGGTTTTTATAAAGAAATATTTATTTCTTTTAAGCAAACTCATTAAAACAATTGGCATATTAAATAAAAATATATTAATTTTGCCGTATTGAAATAATAAACAAATATTTGTTATTCAGAAACAATATTTTTTAATTATAACTGAAAACTACCAAATATATGATTTGTTTATTATAATAGTATGATTTCTCTCAGTGTTGTTAGGAAGCTCTTGAATGCTGCTTTTAGAAACACTAAAATATGACAAATGCATTTTCTCTTCACATCCCTTCAATTTATTATTTTAAAATATCTTTTACCAAGACGATTTCTTGGAACATATGTTAGTACAACGAAGTAACGGACACGTAAAGAATTTTAAGAAAATTTAAATATACTGCACGCAGGCATAACAAGCCACTATGAAATAAGTTTGCTTCTCAAAGAAAAAGACAAAACTCTATAAACTCACACTTTGTTTGCAGTGCTTTTAGTAACACTCATTTTAAAGAAAGCTTCTAAATTTCAAATTTAATGACTTTACACCCGCACCGCCCTGTGTAAGAGCTCGAGTGTAAGTTTATACTTTTCGTCTCCAAACCCTAATAGTAATTTTAGATTAAAAGTTCATCTCAACTTTGAACATTGCATTTTCAAAGTTATGCTAATGGAGATCTTGGCTTTCGATTTAGTTTAGTATTTAAATAAACTCATTGCACATTAAAAATTTAGTGTAAATGTCAGGATGTCACTTGAGATTTTATATCAGAAACTTGTAAGTCCAACAGTTTTTCTCTTAAAAGTAATGAAAATCACTTTGATTCAAAAGATTTGCGCTTTTGAATAGGGTTTTTTAATCTAAATCTAAATTTTTTATAAATTACTTGAGGGGAGAGATTTATCTATTCGTTTAAGGATATTACAATATTAGCTTAAACCAAGAGCAAGCGATTTCTTGGTACAAGAACCAAAAATATTTCATCGGAGGATATTTCTCTTTTGTATGAAGAAAACTTTTTTTAGCGCAAAAAAATGGGATTTTAACAAGAAAACTGCATCTCTGAATTGAAAAGCTTAGGAACTCTCTAAAATAGTATATTAAAGTACAAGTTGCAGAAGGCCACATATTCTCGCACGAATTCGAAATTTGGCCTCGAGCGACGAAGGAGCGAGTGGACGAACGAATGAGTGCGAGAATAGCCTTCTGCAACGTGTGATTTATACTATTTTCTCGATTTTAACTTTTATTTAGGTTTTTTTAAATGTTTTGTGGTCGTTGTTAGTTGGGGGATTTTTCTTGCAAAATGTCAGTTGGCAACACAAAATGACAGTTGCATGGACAGGTAGATTTATTTTTATTTACTATTTATTAATAATCTGTCTGTATTTGTCAACTGGATAATAAGGTTTTGTGTAAGTATTGTATTATTTTTTAATGTTTTCTGATATTTTTGAACAATTGTGTTTACTTTTAGCAGTGAAAAATGTCACAGGAGGTTTTACAAGCAACACTGAACATTACAATAAAAGTTTATAACAATTGTGCTAGTGATTAATTTATAGTAGTTTTGTGTTTTGTGTACTGTGGGTATATAATATTTCCAATAAAATATAGTTTGATTGACCTGTCTGGCTCATTTATTTGTCAATATTTGTTATCCTGCACAAGTACAACTGAACTGCACTTTTTCACATTAAACTTAAAATTTTGCATTAAAATGCATTGTTGGAGCAAACTTAATATAACAAAACAATAATAAAGGCTTCATTTTCAATAAAAGTGTAGTTCAGGTTGCACTAGTGCAGGATAACAAACAAAGCTATTATAATTTATAATAGCTTATAATTTATAAATAATCCTAAAAGTAATGAATTTGAGGTTATTAAACAGTTTGACATTTTGGGGGTACCAATACTTAAAAACTAAATGTTACCAAAAATCGTTTAAGAATGAGCTTCATTCTTCAACGATTTTGCGTGCGAGAATATGACATTCTTACATAAAAATCGAGAAAAGAACATTTTTCTAGCTAAAAAAGCATATAGTCTAAGATCCCAAGTAAGGTCGACCTTCACCCATCTGCTTACCAGATGAAAATTATATTTTATCAAATAAAATATGTTTCTGAACATAAACCAATAGGGTTGCCATAAAAAATATGATCAAGGCTAGCTATAATAAATAAAAAATTTAAAAAAAATAATTAATTTTTTAAATTTCACCAACTTGCTTGCCAAATGAACGAAATTCCAATGGAAAGCATACAACATACAGAATATGTAACAGCTAGGTTGCCTACCTTTTTCTGGTCCCTATTACCTGGTTGCTTTATACAGGGTGATCCCCTATAATGTCGCCTCCCTTTAACTTTTTTATTTTAAGTGTCCCAAAAAATTTAAAAGTGTGGTTATGTAGGAACTAAAAAATACTTTTTTTCTACGTATAAAGAAAATTGGAAAATTGATCAGTATACAGGGAAAACAAAAAGTTTATTTTTTTTCAATGGATCACCCTATATATGAATTTATTTTTCGATTCCTTGTAAAATTCTAAGCATATTTCATATACCATACCATACTGAGGCTTCTTGATTTCTAACAGTTTAAAAAAACATTTAATGATGACATTTCGAATGCGAATATTTCAGAAACGGTTGAATTTAGGTATATGGTTTGTTATATATATTATGCTCAGAATTTTACAAGGAATCGAAAAATAAATTCATATATACGGTGATCCATTGAAAAAAAATAAACTTTTTGTTTTTCCCTGTATACTGATCAATTTTCCAATTTTCTTTATACATAGAAAAAAAGTATTTTTTAGTACCTACATAACCAAACTTTTAAATTTTTTGGGACACTTAAAATAAAAAAGTTAAAGGGGGGCGACATTATAGGGGATCACCCTGTACAAAGCAACCAGGTAATAGGGACCAGAAAAAGGTAGGCAACCTAGCTGTTACATATTCTGTATGTTGTATGCTTTCCATTGGAATTTCGTTCATTTGGCAAGCAAGTCGGTGAAATTTAAAAAAATAATTATTTTTTTTTTAATTTTTTATTTATTATAGCTAGCCTTGATCATATTTTTTATGGCAACCCTATTGGTTTATGTTCAGAAACATATTTTATTTGATAAAATATAATTTTCATCTGGTAAGCAGATGGGTGAAGGTCGACCTTACTTGGGATCCTCTACTAATATACTATTGATCTAACCATATTTTATTTTGATTTTAGAGAAAATATCTCTTGGTCCAATAGTATGTATTGCTTTATACAAAAGCTTCTGATCTTCACTTATACTAATAGCGTTTATAGTATTTAAGCTTAAATTCACCTCACCACACAGACCTTTTGATTTTAATTATTGAAACATGCATTTAACAATTAAAATTAAGGACCTTTGTAGTGAGCGGAGTTCAAACCCAAATATTGGCATCGTTGAAAACTATAAGATTGGCTAAAAAAAAGGTTTACAAAAATAAATAAATAAAATAAGACATTTATTGTTTGATATCAACAAATGCGCAAGTTTTTTTTATACCAACACTAATAAAGTAACATAAATTTCATTTAACATATTTTAATTAATACCTTCAAAAACATTAAACAAATTAATTCAATTTCATTTATTTAAAAAGAGTTTTAATGATTCCAACTGTGAAAGTACGCACGCCCGCCACACCACAACACAACCGGCAAAATATATATTAGAAATACCTATAATAGAAATATAATATTATATCACTGCCCCTAGAAAATGGCGAATTGCAAGTTGCAATGATACAAAACGTACTAAACAAGTGAGCCGCAAAATTTTGCGGCATAAGGTATACCATATATGCGCGTTTTGCATCCCCTCCCATGTATCAGAAGCTACCAGATTTTGTTGTAAAATTGACATGTTATTGGGATAATTCTGATGTATCTTGAATGAATTCCGTAAATATATAGCTATTTACATACCATGGGAGGAAAATAGTGCTTTTCCTCCCGCAAATAGTTTGATGCCCGACGCGAAGCGAAGGGCATTAAATATTCAAGGGAGGAAACGCATTTTCCTCCTGAGGTATGTATATAGTTTTTTCTATTACCTTTTAACGGTTTTAAGACATTTTAAGCGTTCCGGTATCTTTTACTAACCCGGTATGGGGCTATAAAATTATGACAAAATATTAAGTAGGTGTTGCGTTGCCGACGTTATGTTGACAACGCTTTGTTGCTATGGCATTTTTGGTAATACAAACATAACAGTTTTTATAAGCTGTCAGAATGTTTATCATAAATTTGAAATTCTTCCTACGTTTTGAAAATGAGTTCTAGCGAAGAAGACCTGCCGCAAGATCTTGCTAAAAAGGCAAGAATATTTGCAATTAATTTCCTTCCTTCAAAATCGAAAGAGCGATATGAAAATGAATAATTTGTAAAAAGAATGGTTGGACAAGCGCGGAGTAAATCTTTTTCCTACAAAATCAAATAGAGCTAGACATTTTCTTCCCTCGCTCGGGGGTGGAAAATTAAGTTTTCTAGTAAGGTAGTAGAAAAAATAATTTTCATAACTTTTGAACAAAAACACTTTGCACTTGGTTGAAAGAAGAAACATTCAAGAGATTTTGAATTTGTTTTCAAGAGAACTATACTTCTTCCTCTAAGAACTTTTTTCTTTAAGCAAAAAATACTCTTTTATGCTAAAATATTGTTTCTTGCCGCTAATAATTTTTATCAAGAGAGTTGACTACTTTAGTTTTAGGGGCCCCTCTTTTTAAGTGTACGTTTAATTTGTAACTACCTCTCAATCATCATGCAGCACGCTGCTTTTGGCTCAAACTAAACACGGGCGTGTTTGCTTTGTTAATGACATGACCTGGCACCACCGCCAGTGTTACCAACATGTAATCAACATCCCTGGGGCCTCAATATGTCTGATTCACTGATTACTAGTTGAAATAATTGTTAACAAGAACAGATTTAACAAACTAATTTAATCTTCATAATCCATTATCTTACAAAGTAATAAATGTATCAAATTGTCGACTTTACAAAGGTGACGGTCCATAACAATGGCGTCAGCAATTTGGAACGAGCGGTCGACTGGCATTTCCGTTAGGGTTACCGAAACTGGTTTAGGCAGTCTCGAAACTCCAAACTCTGATGAATGATCTTTACTACCTGAAAATCACGATTCGCCACCAAATTGTCCTAATTTGTTCTGGAATGTGATGTTTTAGTTTGAGTTTATAAGAGAAGTACAAGGAAAAGAGAATCAGAGATAATTAAATGTAAGAAAACATTTTGTTATTGTATAGTATAAATACACCTTGATGAGGAGAAATATTATAACTTGTTATGCTGTTGGCACAATAAATTGTAGAAAAACAATACATAAATAAAAGTTTGTTGTACGTGTATTAATAATTACCACAATAAGTTCTTGGAATTTCCAAATGATGCAATTATAAATTGTAAGCACGACTGACAAGAACCATTCTTCAAACGATTACTAATTACTAAAAAAACACTGCATTATGGGGATCTACACCAGAATCATGGGCGCCGCTACATAGGGGCAGGGGGGGGCCCGGGCCCCCCCCTGGAAATTCATACCCAGAAATTCCGGTACTCCATAATTTGACGGTAAGTGCTGATCGTTATCATTTTTTTCATTATTTTTTAGATAAATTAGATTTGTTATCTTAGATAATTTAAGATTTGTGCCGTCTTAATGAACACTATTGTTGTTACAGTTGTAAAATGAATGAAATGCCTAGCTGTTCAAAGAAATTAGAAGCACAGTTTACTGATTCCGTTCATAATCCTATGGCGAAGAAACCAGATGCCACAGATCATTATGTTCATATTCCAATTGGAAGATCTTTAAAGATCTTCGATGGAATCTTATATACGTGCAATAAGGTTCATATCAATTTTGATTTGGAATCCAAGGGGTTTTAGCTTAAATAAAACTTAAAAATTGAAATAATCCGGAAACTGTTCTTGGAAAATTAATGAAATAAATATTAAAAAAATAGAGGATTTATTTATGGATTCAGGATTTAAATCCAGATAACGTAATGGATTTATGATTGAGGATTTAGATCAAGTTTATGGTGTGGATTTATGGATTTAGATTTAAATCATTTTTGCCGGATCTTGCCCATCCCTGAGTAAGACGCTCTTGGCTGACATATTTCTATATACGAAATATATGTTGAAAAAGTCGACTATAGAATAGATTTCTTCATAAGCCTAGTGAATTGATAAACAGATGGCGCTAATATATTGTGTCAAATTTACAAATATACATACAGGGTGTCCCAAAAGTCAACGATATCCTTTGAAGGACTCATAGGTCAGCTCATGACTAATCAGAATATCAAAACATGACCTTGGTAAAAAATCATTAGTTTTTAAGATATTGGCATTAGTTTTTAAGATATTGGCATTTTTATGAACTTTGTGAAACTTGACACAAAAACCCTGAATAGGACTACTATTAATTACAATTCAAAATTAAATTAATAGCAGATTTTGTAGCTGTAGCACTCTAAAAACTAATTTAAAGTGTCAAGTTTTACAAAATTCATAAAATGTCAAAAACTAACAATTTTTTACTAAGGTCATATTTTGATTTTCTGCTTTGTCATGAGTTGGTCTATCAGTCCTCCAAAGGATCTCGTTGACTTTTGGGACACCCTGTATAAAGATGATATTTTATTTGACTTAAGTTTAATGTAAACTTCTACAGTACAACTTGATTATAAATAAAATCTATCAAAATTGTAAAAAACTTTAAGGCCCCCCCCTAGACGAATTCCTTCCGGCGCCCATGACCAGAATACTCAAGAACTAGAAGGCTGGGAATTGCTGCCGGATCCTTTAAGGTGATCAACCGCCCTGGTTTTTGCTAATGTGTCCCGATTTTAATTGTGTACTGGTTTTGTCCTGGTTTTGAAGATTTGGTCCTGGTTTATACTAATTTTTTATTATTGACGTTATTAGCACATCCGGTTAAACCGGAAGTGGTACCCAAGCAACAATTTAAGTATTTGTTACGTATATGGGACTATTGAAGAAACTTCAAAGTGTTTTGCGACAGTCGCCGGTCTCTTTATATTATAATAAGAGTATACTCTTTCATTACTACGTTACGACTAAAGTGGGGAACAATTATTGAGTTCCAAAAAGGTAGCAAATATGTCACTAGCTACCAACCCTGCTACTATTTGGGACGTAGCTGCTACGTTACTAGAACGTTCCAATATCGTTGCTAGAGCGTTATAATTACTTTTATTATTTGTTTTTACTTCTATATTAACTGTCTTTGTCAAACTTATATTAGATTATACTATCCCTCCTTTTTTAAATGGAACCACTACGGACTTGGCTTTTCAATGTCGTCGTTTATTAAATATGTACTGGTAGTTTATAACTTCCAGAATAACAATATAATATTTAATTAGACAGGTAGATTTATAAACCCTTTAAATTTTACTGTTGAACTTATGAATTTAGTTTTTGTAAAATAAATGCGCTTCATCAATATTTAAGTATAAACAAATTATTTATTTAGTAATGTTTATAAATAAAAAAATCTTAATATTTATTATTATTTTTTTTATTTAATTATTAATACCGTCTATTACCAACAATATTTCTATTTATTAAAAAGTAAACAACCATTTACAAACAATTAAAATAATTTATTATTTACATTACCACGTGGTACTGTACAGTAAAAAATGGCCGATAAGAAGCATTTTCCTTTGAAGTAGTTTTCGCTACTTTAAAGTTTTTTTCCACTTTACGGTTGTTTTGGTTAGTACCATAAACGTTCCAAATACTAAAATAATAACTTTTAAGTTATTAACTTTGTAATTTTTAACTCATGTTCCAGTTTCGAGATTTTAACTTGCAAAGGGACTACAAAGTAAAAATAATTATAATGTAATCTTTAGGTAGCAACCGAAAGTAACTGCTACAAATTAAATTTACTTGAAAGTTTTTTTTACTTATAACATCTTTTTTAAAGTTGCAAAGTCTTCTTGGGGGCAACCAAGTTTTACTTAAATGTTTATTACTTTATAGTAACAATTTAAGGAAAAATTAAGTTTCTGTTACAAAATATTGCTATTTAAAAGTTAGAATTACTTTTAAGTAAAAATTAAAGTAGCTGTTTAGTATACTTAACTAATTTAAAGTTATCACCACTTTGGCAATGGTTTTTGGAACCAAAAATGCTGCTTGGGTATTTTGTTCAAAATTTAAACGCTTTTGAAATTTCGAATCGATATCATTTTCCGTTCCCAAGAAACTTCTAATGGACCACGAATGTTAAACACCCTGTATATTGTAACACAAGAACGTGACTTACAGAAACGTAAATAATAGAATATAGTAACGATTTTTGCTTTTGACAGTGGCAGTGACATTTCTATATGTAGTGTTATTTAAAATCTTAAAATGAACTGTGAAAACAAAATATTATGTTCTGTGACACGAGTGAAATACGCTGGAAGAAAATAGTTATTTATGTCATTAGGTTAAGAAGTAAGGCTTTTTGTGCTAAGCTCAAGGTTTGACAATTAAGCGAAGCACAAAAAGGCACTTTTTGGCCGAATGACATACAACATTTTATCTTCAAAGCACTTTATATAGGTCAATTTAATTCAACATTCAACAAAGCGGCCTAACCTCACTTTTTTAGAATCTCATTTATTTATTAGCTAAAGATTACATTAAATGTACAATAATTATTATTGCTTTTAGAAGCAGTAATAGTTTGACAATACCTAGGTACATGATTTAAGTAGAAATGGATTTTTGCTATTACATTGAATTCAATTAATTGTTTAATAAATAGGTAGGTATCTAATTTTAATTTGTTTGGATAATAGGTAGTTTGGAATGTTTAAGCTGTGTAACATTTAATTTCACTGAAAACTTAAAGCAAATTAAAACTTAAAGATAATTTAAATCGTAGAAAAAGAATCGTACGTATTCTTGGTTGCCTAACCTCAATTTTTGTTTTATAATTCATATTTAATATTACAATAATTTAATGAAAAATATTAAACATTAACAATAAAACAAACAAATTATTGCTTATTATAAATAAATTAAACCAGTTTAGTACGTTAATTTCTTAGAAAAGGATTAATTTGTCAAAACAATACCCCTAGCGAGAAAATATTACTTGCCTCATAAATTTTTTTATCGGCCTAGGCCATAACAAGGTATTTCTTTATCGAATTTTGACAACAATAAAGTTTAAATTATAGACCGCGTGGAGATATAATTATTAAATACATAAGTGCATACGAGAAACACCATTTTTTGAATACAATTTTTATCAAAATATTTAATTTAAAGTTTAATGAAAACATTTTAATTAATATTGCTTTATTTCAACAACAGAGTTTAATTAACACGCAAATACAAAACATTATAAATAACTAAATATAACCATTATATGCAATAAATCACAAACATATTGTTTTCTAGATAATTAAATATTCTCTAAAATTATGAAGCCAGTTTTAATTATAAAATTAATAAATAATAAATTAAATGGAATGATGATTTTTACTTCAAGCATCATTTGCGTTTTTTATTTGCAAAGATAACAACGTACTTTATCTGAATGACTTGGCATCACATCTAATAAAACTGACCATTTTTGTTGCGTTAAATAAATGCCAACTGGGACCGAAGTGATGGAATTTGGGTGAAAAATTAAATTCGAGTTAGCTTTGACACGAAACAAAAGAAATTAGGTGGAAAAGGGTGGAGGTTTAAACAAAAGAAAGTTAATTTGTTTTATACAAGGGATCATAAAGTTTTGAATAATTTTTATTACAATTTTTTAATGGTTTAGTTTTTAGACTTGTACAATAGTATAGTAATTATTTTATAGAGAATTTGAATATATGATTTATTTCTTAGGTTACTGGATAAAAAGTGCGTGAACAAAGCAATTTATATGTAAATTTAATACATAAATTTGAAAGATAATGTTTACCTTAGATAGATTATTCTTAGCAAAAGGCTTAAGCCTAAATTCAGATACATTTTTTGTCTCTTTTTTTATATATATAATGTATATATATTATATATATATATATATATATATATATATATATATATATATATATATATATATATATATATAT